TATATATATATATATATATATATATATATATGGACGTTTAGGCCATTTAAGGCAAACTCATACACACAACGCATACACATAGACTCGAACCTTGGACCTCTTAGTTGGAAGCCTAAGCTCTCAACCAATAGGCCAAGGAGAGTTGTGTTCCACCTAAAGTATATATGATGAAAAATGAGGTGGTTGCGAATTTCTGAATAGATTGATTCAATTTGATACAATCATACAAGTATTAATGCTATTTTTTGTTGTATTTAATGCAATAAAATTATTACATTGTCATAATTTTTTTTTTAATATTATATAATTTGATTCATATAATCCTTATACTCTAAAGAAAGTAAGTAGAAAAAAATAAATTTATTCTATGCAAACAAAATCACGAGTTCTCTAGGCGGAAAAAGCAGGCTTATAAATGGGTTAGAGTAAGATTTTATTTGGGATAATTTTTTTTTTAATATTTTTAAAATATTTTTTTATTATTTTAGACAATAAAATCAAGCCTTTGTCCCACTACGTAAGGTCAGCTACATGAATCATTTTTCGCCATTGCCCTGTTAAAAGTCAATTCTCATTTAAATCTAATAAAGAAAGATCATTTATAATATTTTCTAACCAAGTCTTTTTAGCTCTACCCCTACCTTTTTTAATATAAGTCAAATCTAATACCTCAACTTTCCTAACAGTGTCATCGGAAGGCCTCCGTTTAATGTGGCCAAACCATCTAAGACGACTCTCTCTAATCTTATCTTCCACTGGAGCAACTCCAACCTTTTCACGTATAAGCTCATTTCGCACCCCATCTCTAAGGGTAAAGCCACTCATCCACCTAAGCATCTTCATCTCTTAACTTAGTATTATGCTTCTCGTTTAATGGCCAACATTCAGCACCATAAAACATTGCAGGTCTCACCACCGTCTTATAAAATTTTCCCTTATGTTTGAGGGAGACTTTTCTATCGCACAATAAGCCCGAAGCATTCCTCCACTTCAACCATCCAACTTGAATTCTGCTAATAATATCCCCATATATTTCACCGTCACTCTGAACAAAAATTATTTTAGAAAACAATAAAAAAATTATCTCAAACTAAGCCTAAGACCAATCTGACAAAAGCATATTCGGGTCAACATGACTCAGACTACAACTATTTCTTCCACGTGCTTTGTATGCTCTATTTAGCAATAGAGCTAACAAAGTAATAGTTCAGCTAGGAAAAATATATTACAGGTAAAACTCCTTGAGTAACAAGATAAAGAAAGAAAAAGAAAATGATGAGAAAGTCATTTTTCTAACATGTCAAAAGCTGAACCAAGATAACAAACTAGATGGAGTTGTGTTAAATAATCATAACTGGAACAGCATAGAATTTTAATTCAAATTCAACTCTTTCCATTTTCGGTTTCAACTATCCTGAAAAGCAATTTACAATATGGCGGCATGTAAAATAAATTAAGGCTTCATTTAAGACGGCTTTCTTCGTGCTTTTTAAAACAGTTTTCTAATAGAATTTGAAAATTTTGTACTCAAAAGCCGTTTTAAAAAGCAGTACAAAAGCTATCTCAAAAGAAGCCTAAATGCCTAATTTTGGATCAACAAGAATTAATTAATCAGAATATTTATATTACAAAAGAACATACCTCTTAATATATATATATATATATATATCATTGTTAGCTTTTAATTCTTTCTTATGAGTAATTTAATGGAAGTTCACAGGTTCAAGAATGTCACCTGTAATTCCAATCATTTTGGTGAGCTTTCTTCCATGACAATGGAGTCCACAGGATTCTGTTCAGCCCAGACTTTGGCGTCCAGATAACCGAGCTCATAAAGCCTGTCAAGGATGTTGTCCTCTGCAGGTTCGAGTGCCCAGTTGAAGAGCTAAGGGGTGGGTGGGAATGTAATTTTTATTAGTTTCTTAAAACAAATGGAAAAATACTGTTAAACTAATTTTCAAGATTAGTAAAAGGTAAAATTTGATTTAAAACAAAAAAGGAAAGTGAAAAAGGGAAATTAATTCTGATTAAAATTTTGTCAAAATGACTGTTAAATATATTATGATCATCTCAAAATAAATTTAAGGAATTTAATATTCATTTGGACTATTTTTGGCACAAGATATATCCTGATTAAAAAACGAAAAAAAATACCTGTCTCGTACTAGCTCTATTCTCAGGGTTGCAATCAGGGCTGATCCCAATATCTCTCAATCCCATTCTTTTTGTTGGAAAAGCACAAACCCTAACCTGTGATGCCAAAGATGATATAATCCTCTACAGAGAAAACGCCAACACAAATAACAGAGATCTGCGTGTGGCAAAGGGGAAATTATTATGTGCGGACTCCGAATGTAAAGGACCGTTCGGATTTGATGCGAATTTGTAGATACGTGGTAAATACTCAACAAATTCTCAGTTGTGAGTATTTGTTGAGTATTTTATGAGTTTTCAATGAGCATTTACTGGATTTTACTGATTTGATGAGTATTTACTGCGTATGTTAAAATACACAGTAAATACTCAACAAATAAGCAGCAATCCGGACGATCCTCTATGTTCGGAGTCCGCACAAAATAATTTCCCGTGACGGAGATAGGCAAATGGCTAACTTTTAACAGTAAGAAACCGTAAAAAGCAGCAGTAATTATAAATATATTTTTTATAATATCACGCATTAAATTTTAGGGAAATTTACATACATACCACTTTATACCATCATATTTACATATTTAACACCCAAAACTTTAATATTACATACATACCACGCTATGTTATTTTAATATCAAATATATCACTCATATTTCCTTCCTAACACTTATATATTGTTTTTCTACCACTCATATTTGATATGAAAATGAACTATGGGTGGCATATATGTAATATTAAAGTTTTAGGTGTTAAATACAACAACAACATCAAGCCTTTACGTGGGATAAAGGGTGATATGTATGTAAATCTCCCTAAATTTTATCTGATACCAATATATGGTCATCAATATCTAATATAAAGCTGAAATTCTACGATTCAAAGCCAATCATACTACCAGGAAAAATAATAATGCATTAATAAAAAATACCAGTTATCATTAGTTCAACAAAATTCAGCATAAATTATAATGAAGACAGTAGAAATAAAAAACAGGAAGCATACAACATTAGACAAGGAATACATACTACAATGGAACATATAAGAAGGCAGGAAAAGAAGGAACAAAAAAACAAATAGATTCAGTAGATAAACGGCTTGTCTAATGCATAAAGAGCAGGAAGGTAACAAGGAGAAGCTAAAAAAGGCCAAAAGAGAGAGAAAAAAAAAACAATCCATAATTTTAAGTATATTTCATTTATATTCATATATATCTTATAGAACAATGACATATCAGTAGCCATTAAGTACTTTACGCATGGTTTAAGATCCCTTAATATATATAATAGGTCGTTAGCTTGTATTTTCATTACCTAATAAATGAAAACCTTCGGTTGCTTTCCAAATCTACCCCCCTCCTTTTGGTCGCAAGAATTGAAGAAATATAATCATCAATCAATTCCTTGGGAAAGTTTCAAAAAATATTCAAGTTCATTAGTTACAAAGAGTTGCAATGAAAAAGAAGAAAGTTTTACCTTCAATTTACCATAACATTTATTGCACTTGGGAATGAATATGAGAATCTAGTACTATCTGTTGAGCAATTGAGCCAAAACATATAAGTCCTATAAAACCTTAGGGTGTCATTTTACTCACCATTTAACTCCTCAAATTTGATCCAAAATAATTTAAAAAGAGAATTACAATAACCCCATATAAATAGTCCAAGTATCATTTAGATATTTCTCTTATAAAAAATGATACATTATTAGAGTTAAACAATGTCGAAATAATGATAGAAATACTAAGAACAAAATCATCTCTATAATAATTATAATAATGAAGGGGATTAACCTAAAGAATCACGAATGCCAATATTCTTTATTAAGAAGAATTAAAAGAAGATATTCTTGGGCACCACCCACTACAAAAAAATTATTATAAAAATAATATGAATAAAAGAAAAGTGTGAGTTTGAATATTTGGCTTTTGGGGTCCCAACCTCTCAACATTAGAGATTCGGGTCCTAAGTCTTGGATTAACAAAGTTGAGGGTTGTGTTAGATAATCGGCAGCCAGCGTAAAACTTGTGGAATAATCATGACATAAATCCCTTAATACATTATGTTAATGCTAGGGTATTCCTTCGAAGTGACACGTTGTATGGCATGAATATAAAGACAAGTGTGCAAGGGCCGTTGCACCGGCACCCGAGTGCAATGTTAAATAGGCAAGTGTTACCACATCATGAACAAATGTGGGTAAAGAATATGATTCATAAAACTAAAATTATGATAGGAACTAGGAATACAGGTTCTATTATAAGCAAATTAATAAAATTAATAGATATTATGATTCATAGGAAGATAAATATTCTATGCATTCATGAAGCTAAATGGGTTGGAGAGAAGGCTAATGAGTTTGATGGCTTAGGATTTAAACTATAGTATTTTGTAAAGAGTTGTGCTAGAAATGTAGGAGTCATTATATATAAGAGTTTGAAGGATAATATTCTAAAACATTAATAGAATTGGAGATATAATTATAACTTTAAAGATTGTTATTGATGCTAAGATTATTAATATTATAAGTATTTATCATTCTCAAGTATGTTTGGTTATTTGTTCAAAATTAAAATTTTATGACTTAGAAGAATTAATACAAAAGATACCTCTTAAAGAAAGAATTTTTATTGGAGGAGATCTAAATGGACATGTTGGTAGAGAGATAGATGATTTTAAAAGCATTCATGGTGGCTATGAATTTGGAGTGACTAATGAATGGGTGAGACCATATTAGATTTTTCTTTACCTTATGATTTTGTAATTGCAAATAACTTATTTAAGAAAATAGATGGGCATCTCATCACTTATAAGAATGGATATTGTAAAACTCATATTATTATTTTTTATAAGAAAACTAAATCATTTAGATTGAAAAGATTATAAAGTTATTTCAAGTGAAAGTTTATGTACCCAATATCGCTTATTAGTTGAAGGAAAAATAAAAAAATAAAGTAAAACCTTGCTCTAGAAGATGGGGGCATTTAAAGAATATTAACAAAAATATTTTTAAGGGTAAGATACTAGATCTTAAGAGTTTGTCGGTGCATGAGGAAGTTAATGTTATGTGGAAAAAAATAGTTACTAATATTAAGAATGTTGTTAAAAATGTGCTTGACGTATTAATAATTTAAATATTAAAAATTCACCAAGACCATCTAAAAACTCTACACAGGATCATGATTATGCCAAAAGAAGAGCTGAAGCCAACACAAAAAATATCTTTAAACTAATATAGTTAATAAAAGTATCATCTCATGAAAAGAATCTGTGTGTGTGGGGGGGGGACGACTCCACACAAATGCCCAGGTGATCTCAAACAAATATATGGCTTACAATTTTGTCTAAATTCTGAGAAAAAACTTGATGACCTTAATGTACTTTAGCCATTCCTTGGGCATTAAATAACGTACTAAATCATTGATATCATAGTTTGTCTAATAGAAACTTGTCATCCTATTTTTTTTGCATCCACTATTTAACTTTCCCTAGCAAAGATTCTATAAAATATGTAGGAGGCTCTATTACCTGAGTGGAAATAGTTCTTGAGAGATATAGACTTGGGTGATCATGACCTTGCCTAAAAAGAAGAGTACAGTTAGTTGAAAATAGGTGTTTTCGATGAATTTTAAATTGGATGGACTTTTGAGAGATATATGGCTCGATTGATTGGCAAAAGATTTAATCAAATATATGGCATTGATAACATGGAAATATTTCACCTTTAACAAAATTAAATATTATAAGAGCCTTAATATATATTACAACAAACATTGATTGAACTCCACAACAACTGAATCTCAATGGGGACCTAGAAAAAAGCTCTATAGATCCTCCAAGATTCAATAGGAAATTTGACTCACATATATGTTATCTAAAAAATTCATTATACGGCCACAAACAATCTGCAAGAGAGTGAAAATTATACCCAATTAGTTAAAAAGTAAGACTACAAGCAAAGCCTGGACTAATCGTACTGATGTGAAACATACACGTGCACAAGAATTGGTTTGGAAATTAATAACAATTTGAACTTACTTTGCTAGTGGAAAACTTATGCTTCACCAAGTGATGATTTTGGAATTTGTCCTTACAAGATTAAGTAAAAGCAAACGATTATAACGAAGATTAACGAAGTACTTGCAAGTGATTAGCAAAAATAAGTAGATAAACTAATGGCGATGAAACAATAATCCACGGTACAACATCAAGACGTTTTCACCTTAAGTTCCTTCTCTCTTACTTGTAGTAGGTTTAGCGGATAAAGGGTGAAAGCAAACCGAGTGATGTCACCACAAGACAAGTGATGCGTAAGGCCTATCTGCCGGAGAAGTAGCCGGAGAAGGAGAGGAAGGTGGTCGGCCGATGATGAACCAATGTCCCTTTGGCCTTTGTTCGTCAATCGTCTCGGTGAGTTGAAAGAGCATGCGAGCAATGTAACTTTCCACTGAGTCATCGTACTCCCAAATTGGATCAAAGAAATGAGATAATAAAATATCAACTTCTCCTTGATGTTTGTAGGCGAACCCGTGGTCGATCTCAGGATTGGCCATGCACGCTTGCTTGAGATGGGAGGAATAGACAAGTAGGGAAGGGGGGAAGAAGAAAGTAGGGTTGAGGGAGAGGAGGGGTGGCAGGTTGGTGATGTGGGAGGCCGGCGGCTTGAGGGAGAAGGGAGGGGTTGGGATTAAGGCTAGGGGATTTTGATTAGGTGGGAATTAATTTCAGATTTTAAGTGGAACTAGAGGGAAAATTGAATTTGAAATTAAATTCAAAATTAAAATAGGTATTGGTTTTTAATTGGAAAACAATTTAAATGCCCATTAAAGGGGCCTGCGGCATGATGGAGGGGAGAGGGATTTGTGGGAGGAATTAGAATAGCTTCCTAATTGGTCTTTCTAATTTAGGAAGAGAATAAATCAATCCAATCTAATTTAAAAATTAAATTGAATTAGATTCATGACTTTCCTAATATAACTTTCTAATTTAGGCAACTATTTAAAAATTCAAAAATTGAATTTCAAATGGTTAAGAATAATTTCCCAAATCATTTAAGCTCTTTAGGTAAGTAATAATGAGGCATTAACTCCTCAATCAAGGGGTGGAAAATAGGTGACCGGCAATGAGCTTGGGGTTTGGGCGTGAGATTTGTGGTGGAGCCAATGGGAAGGGTCGGGTTCGGGTGGTAGGGGAGAGAGAGATGTGGAGTGGCCGGTGGTCTTGAGGTGGTGACTAGTTAGGGAAAATGAAGGGTCGTGGTGGGGGAGTAAGCCGGCGGTGGTTGGGGAAGAGGGGAGAGTTGGAAGAGGTAAGACGTAAAAGAACTAGAGACACGAACCTTGGAATCCACCAAAGGTTGACGGGTATTGCGTAATCTCTCGTCTAGCGTCTCTCCTCTCAAGAACTCACAAAGAGATCTAAAACAAAAGAGCTGAATTTTTTCATTCAATAATCATTCATCATCCTTTTACAAAGCACAATGCCACTATATATAGGCCTCCAACATAAATAAAAGCGAAGTACACAAATGCCCTTAAGGCTACAATAAGAAAACACTCCCCACAGGGGTAAACTCGGAAAAAACTGAAAATAAAATAAATAAAATACATCAAAAGTAAAGACTCTGAATTATACCATGTCGGAACCTCTGAGCGATGTACTCATCACGTACTATGCTTATAAATACTAAAAATAACAAAAGAAAGCTATCCTATTTGTTTGTGGACAGCATCATTTTGCAGGTGAAACCAAGATAAAACTGAGCTGCTAAAGAAGAATCTGGCACAGAAAGTTGAATCTAGAAATTGGGAGCCCTTAGATATTTTATTGGGATAAACATAGGACAATCAAAGAATGACATTATGATATATTATGGATCTTCTTAATGAAATCAAAATGAATGAGTGTAAACCTATTAACACTCCGATTAATCTAAACATAAAGGTTAAACAAGACAAAGATGGAGAACTTGTTAATATCACTTATTACAAAAAATTGGTGAAAAAATTAATATATCTATCCCACATAAGATCTAACATAGCCTTTATGTAAGCCTAATAAGTCAATTTATGCCCTCACCAAAAAAGGAGTATGTAGAGGCTATATATAAAATCTTGAGGTATTTTAAAAGTTTCCCTAAAAAGAGACTACTTTTCAAAGAAAGCATTTCGTATAATATTAAAGCCTATACTTATACATATTGGGAAGGTTCTACAACACACAGAAGATCTATAAAAGTTTAATGTATCTCTATATGGGGCAACTTCATCACGAGTAAGAAATAAAATGAACTTGAATATAAATCCAGGACCAATGGTGCTTCTGAACTATGGTGATTACAATGGGCTTTGGTAAACACAACAACAACATCAAGCCTTTATCCCACTACGTGGGGTCGGCTACATGAATCTTTTTTCTCCATTGTGTCCTATTAAAGGTCAAATTCTTGTTTAAATCTAATAAAGAAAGGTCATTCCTAATATATTCTAACCAGGTCTTTTTAGGTCTACCCCTACCTTTCTTAACAGCACAATCTTGTGTATCACCTTTATTCTTAAAAATAGGAATTAACACACTCATTCTCCACTCATCTGGCTTTGGTAAAGCTTAAAAAAAAATTCTAAATTCTTCAATGAAGCTAACTTGTGACAATAAGGCAGTGATAAATATCGCCCACAATTGTCCCCCAAAATAGAACCAAGCATATTAAGGTTGATCACCACTTTGAAAAAATAAACTTGAAACAAGAATTATTTGCATGCCTATTATTCCCAACTCCTGACAAAAAACATATATCATTACAAAAGGATTGCTCAAATTCAATTTTGACTTCATCATTAACAAATTGGGATTATCTAACATCGACTCTCCAACTTAGGGAAAGTGAAAAACAAGTAAACAGAATGTGCTCATTCTATGGGGATGATTTATCTAGAAAGAATAAATGAGTGACTGTCAATTAATTGGAAGATCCTTTTTTATTTGAATTTCAAATTTGTATCTTTCTTTTTGATTTTTTGCAAGTCATCATAGAAAATAACTCTAAGTATACCTGGTATCTTATAAATATTTTACTTACCTAGTATCTTATAAATACTTTAATATTGTTCTTGATTAAGAAGTCCAGAAAATATATTTCTCTCCAAACCTTTAGTTACTTAACAGCAATGTCGAGGAATTATTGAGATACTGACCAAGTTCAAGCTTCTTATAATTCAAAACTTTCTAACACTACTGATGATGAAAAGTTAAAAAATTTACAGGGAAAATAGTAGCATACTGTTTTTAAGGCAGAAGTTGGTGGCATAAACGATGTCAAACCCCCATCAATGCACAGCCGGTTGCGGTAAAGTGTAGCAGGCCTTGGAGCTAAGTACCTAAAAATGCCATAATCAACAGAGATGTTTGATAAAGCTCAACAAAAAAAGGACATAAGAGTGCTTAGCATTAGCATTATAAATTAAGAGTAAAAAGAAATAAGAGAATTTAGCAGTAGCATACCCAGGAATAAATGAAGAAGTAATGACCGCATTGATAAGGTCTTCCTTGGAATCAAATTGATCAACAAGTAAACCTTTAGGCCTCCATGATAATTGGGTTATAGCAACTACAATATCAAAGAATACAATTCAAAACTATTTAGTGAACCTTGGCAGAAAGAAATAACACTGGAAGAAGCACACCCAAAAAATTTCACATGAATCCAAAAACCCTTCCAATGAAAATAAATAAACAAATAAAGGAGAAAAACAAGCATGAAAAAGATTAGGCACATAAATCTGTCAGCAATTTGTTATGACATTTAGTGAATTAGTAGCCCAAACTAAGAAGGCTATTTCCCTTAAGCAAGCTTAATTTATCAAGCTAATGTGTATATCATAAGTTCACACATTCCCTTGCCATAGCTATTCCCTTATTGCGATAGTGACAAATGTATCCATGGTATCTCATATGTAATTTATTCCGGAAACCCTTTTCAACTTAGACAGTAGCTCTTGCAGCTGTCCAAATTGAAAAAATTGGACAGAAAAATTCATCAACGATAATAACAGTGATCATAATAAAGTTAGAACAATTTAAAAAAAGAACCAGAGAGCCCTAAACCAAAAAAACTAAAGCCTAGACCAACATATACAGGTCATGTGCTCACCACGGACCCTTCCATTAGATCTGATGTGAACATCTTCTGGTAGAAATTCATTTAGAACATTTCTCAGGACTGCCTGCATAAATTAAACAAGGGAACAGATCAAACCATATACCTCCAAATGAAGATTGAACAGATTGAATACCAGACGAATCATAGGAAAGAGAAACTTTTCTTTATTGGCAAAGATCAGTAATGAAAATAAAGTCTGCGTCAAATAAATAAAGTAACATTTGAAAATTGTAGTTACACCAAATGAACATGCAGACTATAACTCTATAAGCCTCCTTTTCCTAAATAATATTGAAGAAATAGAACAATGAATCCGAGTCTGTGAAGGCATGATATTTAAAAAAAACAACAGTATTCCACATGCATAACCTTCAAAACACAAAAATCCATATGGAAATATGGAATCAATACTATTTATAAAGAAACAAACTCTCAGGATGGACTTTATTCATATCACCTAAAATAAAGAAAGAAATTATATTTATCTTATCATATGCAAAGAAAAATATTTAAAAATCAACAAAAATAGTAATGGACCAAAAAGGCCTAATTTGATTTAATTTCTATACAACTCAATTTGACACCCTTTTGATTTGCCTAATTTGAACATAATATATAATCCAGTAGTTGATAAATGCTACCTCAAAAAATCACAAAACGATCAGGATAAGTTGGCTAACTATCTGGAAGGTGGTATCAAGTTATAATTTCTTTAACTTTGCTGTTAAAAGAATATTCTATGTGAAAAACTCTATAAATTTCTAAGATTATATAATAGAAAAAAGTATGTCAGTACATATTTCTTAAATTATTTGTATCATTTATTTCAAATGGCATTAATCTACACAGTATGCCACATACGAATGATACACACTAAGGAATAATGACTGATACAAATTACTGATCTATTTTCACATTCATTTATTGCAACAAGTAAAATTTTCAGAATTAAAAACATGTAGAACTATGGAAATACATATATACTAAAAATGGTACACATTAACTTCTTAATCAAAATGAGGATTACTAACCGCAATTGAAGAAAAATGCAAATGACTAAAAGGGTGCCCTCCTAACCACAAATAGTTTTACAAACATGATATGTATTTGGAAAGTAAAACAAACTTAAAATGGAGGGGAAGGAAGATAAAGAAATTTTTACGTACTCCAAGTCTAAATGCGGTGCCTTTGAGTCTACAATCTTCAGCCAATATTTTCGTAGCTTGCAAAGCATCATTCATGCTACTTCCTGAAGCGATCACCACACAAACTATTGCACCAGCTGAAGAACCAGCTAATGGTGTAGTTTCCTAACCAATGAAAAGCAACTTAATAAGTAGCAAATATGATGCGTAATGAGTATCAATTTCATTCTGAAAAGTTCATTTCAATCAAAATGTGTCTTATTACCATATTCAAAAGCCAATGCTCAATTTCTAAGCTGACGAGTGAAATACCATATCTTAAAACAGTTAGATATCCTGAGCACACATGATATGCTAATGGAAGGACTAATAGAAGCTTTGAGCTACTGAAACCACATCAAACATTCTCCCCTTGGCTCCAAAAAATCACGGAATATCTAATCTTACCTAATCCTCCAACAGATATGGCTCTTCAAGTACTTTCAAGAAATTTTAATCAAGTTACTTCTGTGAAGAGAATATACAAGCTCAATATCCCCTGAGTGCTTGCATCATTATTTCTTAGTTCAACAAATTGATGCTCAAGTCATTAGTTAAACTTCTCAAAGATCACATCAACTGAATTATCCTGATGGTTCTCATTTTCGTGTTGACCGGTTCTTACTCAGTATGCAATTCACTATCAACAAATCAAACCGTGTATCTACTTCAATGCTATTGTATCCAAAATTTCATTGTTGTCAACAAACGTTCATGAGCCTGAAATTGAATTTCAAAACAGTATAATGCAATACCAAACATGGCTACGGATGTTGAGAAAGCTCAATGTTTGTCATAATAATTGGCTCAAATTCAGATATTTTGATAAGTAAACAATTCAAGTTTAAACAATATTTTTTTAGCCATTTAATAAATAGGCCAAACATTCACATAACCGGCTTATGTTCGACCAATCAGACCAACCTGCTCACACACACATTTTTCTATTTAAAACATCAAATATATGTTGTGCCTATAAAGCTCATTTATACACATTATTTTATTATTAAAAACTATCAAATACACTCTAAAAATGTAGACAATGGATATTTAAAATTCTGCAATTCTTAAAAGCCATAACAATGGAAATCACAAATCTTTTTTTAATGGAATACAAGATGAAGACAACAACAACATCAAGCATTCAAGCCTTTATCCCACTATGTGGGGTCGGCTACATGAATCCTTTTTCTCCATTGTGCTCGATTAAAAGTTAAATTCTCATTTAAATTTAAAAAAGAAATGTCATTTCTAATATTTTATAACCAAGTTTTTTTAGCTCCGCCTCTATCTTTCTTAATATAAGTCAAATCTAATACATCTACTTTCCTAACCAGGTCATCGGAAGGATGTCATTTTATGTGACCAAACCATCTAAGGCAACTCTCTCTAATCTATATTCCACTGGAACTACTCTAACCATTTCACATATATGCTCGCTTCGTATCCTGTTTCTAAGAGTAAAGCCACTCATCCACCTGAGCTTCCTCATGCACACTTAACATTATGCTTCTCTTTTAATGGCCAACATTCTGTACCATAAAGCATTGCATGTCTAACCAACATTATGCTTCTCTTTTATTACGTATGATTCATCTTTTTTCATGGAATAAATAAATTGGTATTTTTTATATAAATCCAATTGGTTTGATTCCTTGTGTTGAATCATACGATGTTTATTGATTCTATTTCGCCATTCTTTAGGTACTAATGGAGACCTTTTTTTTTGAGATAAATCGTATTGATAATGACCTTTTAACCAATTTTTCCATTTGTTCATTACATACGTATGAATTTTATTATGTGAGTTAAATATTCCATGTATCATACTTGAGGGGGGCTTTTCTATCACACAACAAGCTCGATGCATTCCTCCACTTCAACCATCCAACTTGAATTCTACTAATAACTTGGAAAGATTTACAAATAACTTCAAATGAAAAAGGATAGCAATAATATTACCTGAAACAAACATGTTAAGTTGAGATTTTTGAATCACATTTGTATTGAAAATAGACAAAAAAAAAACGTAGTTGCAGTGACATACAAGATGAGAAAAAATAAAAACCATAAGCTAGAAATCTATTTATGATCAAATGTTTTCATAAAAGCCATATGTTTTTTGTTATGTCATAATAAAATTACAGCAAGATGATTCATCTTTATAACCATGACTAAGAAGAATAATGCATAATATATGTACTTAATATTACTCTATACTTCAATCAAAACTCTCAATAAATGAATAGTTTTCATAGTAGACCTACCCGGCATGAATCCAAATTGATTTTGGTAAACATCAGTATCACAATACAACCTATGCTCCATAACTCTCTCCCATAGTTTTAAAGTATAACACATTAACTTAATTCCTCTATAATTCGCACAATCTCGTGCATCAACTTTATTCTTAAAAATAGTAATCAACACACTCATTCTCCACTCATTTGGCATCTTTTTAGTTTTCAAATTAATATTAAAAAGTTTAGTATGCCAAGAAATTCCTTCATCTCCTAAGCATTTCCACACCTTTATAGGAATATCAACAGTTCAACAACTTTTTCACACTTCATTTTCTTTAAATCTTCTCTAACCTTATTTTACTAATATGTTGATAAAAACAAAAAAAATTATTTTCATTTAGGGTGCTTCTCCACTAAAATCAATCGCATTCTCATAATCTTCATTGAAGAGTTTATAAAAATATCTCATCCACCTTTATTGAATATCATCTTCTAATAAAAGCACTTTTTGATCTTCATCCTTAATACACTTCACTTGAACTAAATCGTTATTAGTTACTACTTTCATTTCTATATTTGGCTAACTTATACATATATCTTTTGTCCTCCTTAGTATCTAATTTATTATATAAACCATTAAAAACACAATCTCGTGCATCAACTTTATTCTTAAAAATAGTAATCAACACACTCATTCTCCACTCATTTGGCATCTTTTTATTTTTTAAAATAATATTAAAAAGTTTAGTATGCCAAGAAATTCCTTCATCTCCTAAGCATTTCCACACCTTTATAGGAGTATCAACGGTTCAACAGCTTTTTCACACTTCATTTTCTTTAAATCTTCTCTAACCTTATTTTACTAATATGCTCATAAAAACAAAAAAAATTATTTTCATTTAGGGTGCTAAGGCCACTAAAGTCAATTGCATTCTCATAATCTTCATTGAAGAGTTTATAAAAATATCTCATCCACCTTTGTTGAATATCATCTTCTAATTTAATACACTTCACTTGAACTAAATCGTTATTAGTTACTACTTGTATTTCTATGTTTGGTTAACTTATACATATATCTTTTGTCCTCCTTAGTATCTAATTTATTATATAAACCATTAAAAGCTAAAATATTTGCATCGCATAATATTTTCTTAGACTCCTTACGGGCCTCTTTATATATTTCAAAATTATCAGAGTTTTTACATCAAAATTAATTTATATAATAAATCTTCTTATTTTTTATCTTTTCTTACACATTTTGATTCAACTACCAACTATTTTTACTATTAAGTGTTTTTTCCCTTTGATACCCTAAGCACATCTTTTGCAACATTTTTAATATCACTAGCTATTTTTTTCCATATAACATTAACTTCACCATACACAAACAGAATTTTAAGATCTAATATCTTACTCTAAAAAATATTTTTGTTAATATATTTTCTTACACATTTTGATTCATGGATCCAGTACAGCACGACAGAACAAAACATATTACCATTTATAGACACTTTACATCTGAGAAAATAGAGAACTCAAAAATTGAAGTAGTATATACCCCAACTCATGAACAACTTGTCGATGTTCTAACAAAGGCATTATCGGGCTCTCTACTTGAAAAGTTTGTTTGCAAGTTAGGATTGTACAACCTGTCCAACCTAAATTTAGTGGAAGTGTTGAATCACACAGCAAGGAAGGGGCCAACGGCTTTGATAGGTCAACAATTCATGGGCAACAATTGTGGGCTACAGTTGGAGATTTTCTCTTCTGACACCAAGATCTGTGAGATATAATTATTAGAATCAATTAGATTAAATAACTTTTCTCTTTTATTTATTATAATTAATTAGATTAAATGTCTTTCTTTTTATGTTTATTCTCCTAGAGTGTATATATATGTAATGATTCAAAAAAAATAAAATTTGAATTCAATTCCCCTAAACAATTTCTTCAGTAGCATGCATGAAACAATAATAGCAGAAGTGGGAAGGCAGCAAAACAGTGGAAAAGCTTCAAAAACACAGGGGCAACAGCAAAAAGCACTGGACAACAAAGGAAACAATTTAACAGCACGATGGTGATAACCAGAAACATTGGACAACAACTGAAAACACATTTAGCATGATAGAGATACCAAGAACACGGTGAAGGAATTGCATTGAGGAATAACTAGAGATCACTTTAACAGAAGGATTCAAAATTTATAGGTTTTGATTGGAATTTCATGGGTTGAGTTAAAACCATGCAAAAATCAGCTATACCAATAGACTGCTCAAAATTACAAGAGAATACAACTTGATTGTATAGTAGCTAACATCATAGACCTATTCTACAGTCCAAAAAACAAGGAAAAAAACTATGAATAAATAAATATGAAAAGTATTCCAATGAGCACAAACATGAAAATTTGCATCATTTTTTCAGGCTTCAAAAAATCAAGATAATTTGATATCTTCCACTCAAATTAAAACAAATTGTCATTCTCCTACAAGCCAGTTCATAAAAAAGCATGTTGTCCAATGGCACCAGAAACTTTTGATATCCATCATTAGTAGTGGCCAAAATGTCCCATATGAAATAGCTTCTAAAACAAAGCGAGTAGGCTCACCTGGTAAGGTGCACGATGTAAACTAGCAAGGAGAGAAAAGAGATTAATCCATCATATTAGCATCAATTTTATGAACAGAGTCAAATCAAATAGGTTGAAAATAAGGTAAATACTAATAATTTCAAGATTTTCAAATTTTAAGCATTTCTTCCGATGTGTAGTAATGTTTAAAGGCCTCAATAGAAAACCTTTCAAGTTTTAATGCAATATTACCTAATTTTCTAGTTGGAATTCCACATATCTCTTGTTCACATTGGCAGAGAACTTATAATTACCATAAATAGTTGTTAGTTAAATCATAAATGTGAATTCATACAAACCATATAAATAACATGAGAGAAGTAGTGAAATTACCCTGAATAGAAGAACCAAGCCTTTCATTGGGACAAATAGTCCTCCCAATAACTAGTTGTCATCACCTACGAAATATTCAAAAAATATACTTCCAACAAGCATGCATAAAAAGAGAAAAAAAAAATTATAATTCAACATTAAATGTCAACTCAATTTCATAAACCTCAAAGGTCTTATTTGTAGCATTCAAAGGAGTCAAAAACAACAACAACATCATCAAGTCTTTATCCAACTATGTGGGGTTGGTTACATGAATCATTTTTTTTCATTGTGTCCTATTAAGAGTCAAATTCTCATTTAAATCTAATAAAAAAATTTCATTTATAATACTTTTGAACCAATTCTTTTTAGATCTACCTCTACATTTTTTAACATGGGTCAGATCTAATACATCTACTCTCCCAATCGAGCCATCGGAAGGCCGACGTTTTATGTGACCAAACATCTAAGGCGACTCTCGCTAATCTTATCTACCACTAGAGCTACTTCAACCTTTTCACGAATATACTCATTTCACATCATGTCTTTAAATGTAAAGCCACTTATTCACTTGAGCATTCTCATCTCCGGAATACTTAACTTTATGCATCTCTTTTGATGGACAACCTTATGTGCCATAAGGCATTGCAGATCTCACCACCATCTTGCTTTGCAGCGTAAAAAAAATTAGTCAAGAAATAAGAAATTACAAAAAATATATCAATATCCACTCAAAAATAACAGGCTTCAAGACATCCAGCATTAATTTCCCAAGATAAACTTTCCAATAATTTCACTTCTTGAATTGCTTAAAGGCACAAACGACAATAAGAATTTTTTTCAAATACATCGACTGGCAGACTGACTCACTTATAACTCTACCAGTTAGTAATGCGCATCTTCCAGGGATAGTAGCAATTGTGGGAAAGTTGTAGGAATAGCGGAAAGGCAGCAGTTGCATGAGTGCTGGAACTATAGCATAGTAGGAAATGCTAATTGTGAGAGCAGGAAAGCAACACAACAACAGGAAATCTTTAGTAGCATAGGGATATCAGTTGGAAGCACAAGATTGCAGCAGAAAAGGTTTAGTAGCGTAGAGACAACAGTTTGAAACACTGAATAAAATTTGGAAACACATGTACAGAAGCTAGAAGGACATAACATAAGCACAATGTAGGAACTGCACTGAGGATCAATTAGCAAATCGCTTTGTCGTGATGATTCCAAACTCGAAGTCACTAATAGGAATTCCACAAACTAATTTGAAACCATGTACTAATGATTTTCAGCTTACTATTTATTCAAAAAACAACAAATAAAATACCTTGTTCGTACAGAAGCCTACATCATATGCATGTTTATACACTCAAAAGTAACTAAAAATTAAAAAACAAAAACTAATAATCAATACACGTGAATAGCATTCCCAATTAACACAAACTTTCAAATTTGCATGGTCTACATGGCTAACAGATTCATGAACACGATTGTATGTGGTTGGCTGGTTGTCTTTCTTTTGCCTGCCTTGATGTAACAAAAATAAAATTAGAGTTTCAGATGATACTCAACTAATATCAATTACACAATTTCATATTAACAATATTCTAAACAACGCAACCATGTCAAGTACCACTATTAAAAGCTTAATACTTTAAGAACGATGACCGGAAATCAAAAGCTTCAAAAAGTAATGGTCTGATCTTCGCTAAATAAATAATAGAGAAACCGCATGCAGCTATTATAACTTCTTAGAACATGCAAATTATAACATCATGCACATAATAGATATCGCTGTGGTTAAATAATGCAGCTTTGTGGACTGCAACCTGAACCTTCATAGAGTTTGTTCTGGGAGTGACAGTGGCAATGGTAGTGATAGTAGCTCATCAACTTAGATGCTGAAATTCCCAAATCAAGTTAAAAGCAATGTAACAAACTATGTTTGATTTGTTGTCACTGAGATCTGATCACCCACACAACAATTAAAGGGTTACACAGCTCCATTCAAACGACCTGAGAGTTCTGCTCCAATCTAATTACATTTTAGCAAATGAAGGCCTCATAATTTATTCATACCTTCCTGGGTATTATCTTTTACCACTCCATTAACTCTCCCAAGCACTCAAAGGCCTCAATAATAAGCTCCATAAATACAAGCTTCATGCAAATGCCAGAGATCCAATAATAAAACCTTTTAAATTACAAATAAAAAATGTCAAAATTCAAAAGCAACCACGCAACAAAAGATCAACAAAACTACCTTAATGTAACCATTCTCAAGAAGAAGCCGAGCAACACCGAGATGATAGGGAAACAGCAACCCCGCGGCAGAGAAGCTGAACCCGGGGCTCGTCACCTTCTTCCTCTCCCTCTCCGCCACCAAACCGTCCGAAATCTGCTCCCAGATCACGGACTCTTCTATCACCGACGCAACTTTCCCCCGACTCCCAGAATAGCCCGCCTCCTCTTTCTCCTCCGACACAACGACAGCGCCCCCAACAGAGGAGCTTCGGATCCTAAGAAGCACTGATGCGAGTCCCAAGAAGAGCTCCCCAGTGGCAACAGCCAGCGACCTCTTCTCTACTGTAAGAGGCGGCGGCGAGGAACTCTCCCTTTCGCCGTTCGCCCTCACGCAGCGCCAAAACGTTATCGGGCGCGGCGAAGAGAATCGGAGACTAGGATTAGGGTTTGGGAAAAGAAGAGGGCGAGTGTTTTCAAGGAAAGAAGAGAGAGAGAAGAGAGAAGCCATCCGGCGAGGAGCGCCTCCAGCCTTCCCTGACATATTTTTCGAGCCTCGTTGTGCCTTTTATAGCATCTTCGTAGAGTTCCACGACCAACCGTCCATGCGGGATGGAGAAAAAATACGGGTTTAACGGCTGCCACGTATTATTAAATTCCAACAACGCATCTAGATTCTCAGTGTGCTCTCCTGCTCTTCTACCCCAAGCGGCGGCCCATCTCAAGCCCTTCCGCCATTTTCTTTTTTCCGGCCATCCCGCCCTCTGGTCTCCTCCTCGTGCTTCGCCTGACTCTGCCGGGAGAGATTATTACGTGCGGAGGCCTTACGCGCGCCAGTCCGGATTGATTTCCGGAAGCGTCGGAAGTAATAATTTTTTCTCCGTAGGACTGGAGTTAGATGAGAAGAATAGCCTAAGCATATATAATCTGTACAAAAATTTGATATATATTTATATGTCCGAACGGTTTTTTCTTGATCAAATTTCGCCCAAATTAATTTTAAGTTCATCAAAGATGTGACAAGAGCAGCTCCACTTATAATTCACAGAACAACTAGCAGCCTTCAGCCACTTTCTTTGTTCCTAGCTAGTTTTGTCGCCACTATTTCTATTGCTCTATTATGCCACTTTATGTAATCATAAGGATAACTTAGTCTTTTGCTCTTATGCTTAACATTGCTATATAAATATCTTCACTATATCTATATTGGTTCAATATACTGAATGGATGGTTTCCTTGATTTACAGTCTTCATTCTTATCTCTGCGTTTGTCTAAGCTTCATACACAGGTATCATGTGCTTTGGTTTCAACTTGGTATCATAGCCAAAATCTTAATAGCCACTACCTACGTATCTTGATGGGGGACTCATTTGCAAGCCACTCTCCACCCCATTGCCTGCTAAACCACCTATAGACCCCAACTTACAAGCTCGATATGTTTAGCCAACCTACACTTTTTCGCCAATTAGCTGGTTCACTCCAATATTTGTCCAAAACCCGGCCCGACATAGCCTTTGTCGTCAACAAACCTTACCACAATATGCATCAACCCTCTTTAGGACATTTTGAACTTCTCAAGTGGATTCTTTGCTATCTTCAAGACACTATTGATTATTTACTTATTCTCCCCAAAATAGATTTACACCTCTCTACCTTTTTAGACATCGATTGGGCCGGTGATACTCTTGACATAAAATCCCCATACAGGGTATTGTATTTTCTTAGGAGCAGCCCTCATTACTTGGTTCGTAAAGAAGCAATCCACAACTGCTCTGATCCTCAATAGAAGCTGAATATCGGTCTCTTGCCTCCAGTGCCACTGACTTAATTTGCATTTGCAATCTATGTCATTACTTCTCCATTCCTTTACCCACTATCAATGTTTTCTGTGACAACATTTTAACAATCTCGATTGCTTACAACCCAATATTTTATGCCCCTGCAAAGAAAATTGAGATCGATCATCACTTTGTTCAAGACTGCATTCAAGCTCAGCATATTGCAGTTCGTCATGTCTCCACCACCAACCAACTTGCTGATATACTTACCAAATCTCTACCAACGCAACGTTTGCAGCTGCTCCGCGAAAAGCTGATGGTCGTCAGGCCAATCACCTTAAGGGACGGTGACAAGAACAACTCCACTTCTACCTCCTTGCAGAAAAACTAGCATCCTTCAGCCACTATCTTTGTTCCTAGCCAGTTCTGTCGCCACTATTTATGTTGCTCTGTTATGCCACTTTATGTAACAATAAGGACAACTTAGTCTTTTGCTCTTATGCTTAACATTGCTATATAAATAACTTCACTGTAGCTACATTGGTTCAATATACTGAATGGATGGTTTCCTTGATTTTACAGTCTTCATTCATTGTCTCTTTGTGTTTGTCTAAGCTTCATACACATGTATCATGTGCTTCAGTTTCAACTGGATGATCTTAAGAAAATTCCTATGTGGATTAAGTTGCCTTAACTGCCACTATGTTGTTGGACAAATTTTAGCATTTTTAAAATAACTGATAAATTTGTATTTCCTCTAGATCTTGATCCTCTTATAGCCAAAAAAATTAAAATTAACTATTTTTCATGTGTCACGTTTCTACCTACTATATTTACTTAGCAATATTACCATTTTCTTAACAATATTATCATGTTTGTATATGATAAAGATGTCTTCCAATATGTTCTTTATGAATGAAAACCTCATCCTTATATAGTTCATGATACATCCACTTGTAAAACCAACTGCTGCCCTAAATATGTATAATATACACAATAGCCACCTAGGCCTCATAAATCATGTTATCATAGGCAAATACAGACACACCACTAAAAGAAATCCTAACGTGATATCCTTTTCTTCTAACCTTATCAACATGCCCCCTATTATAATCTAAATTTTAATTCTCCATATGTCAACAACATAACTCCAACTAAACATCATAATGATGCATCCTCCTTGCAACATAATTAGACCCATTCCACAATGGATCAATCTCATAACTTCTAACTCATACTCCTTTTCACCAATATTCCTACCCTTGCATAATAAGGATGTTAGTGTGCCTCTTTTCAACATTGTGGATTTTTTCAAACAGAGCATTCATGTTCATCCTTCCTTTTACAAGGGTTTGAAAAGCTATGAATAAAGAGAGCTCTCATTCATTATTGTTTGAAATGTAAGAGGTATAAAAGGAGACTCCAGTGCCTTTGACTACATGAAATTAATTCGTGACATCAAAGTTGATTTTTCTTACAGAAATGTATTAAAAATGTTTTTTCTAATCATTTTATTTACAGTAATTAAAAATATTTTTCTTTTCAGAAATGTCAACGTAATAATTTTTACTTGTTCTCTGGTGATTAAATCTATGTTAAATGGAATGCTGATGATATTTCCTTTAGGGCCATTGAAATTTATCTCCAATTCATCCTTGATTGATTGGAGGATTTTTCTTTGAATATATTTTTGGTTACTTTTGTATGTGTTGAAAATGATGCTATTAAAAGGAAAGCTCTTTAGCATTTCATATCAACGGTTGCCTCCACTATTTCTAAACCTTGGCTACTTCTAATTACTTTAATAATGCTAACTTTATCAAATTTATGAAATTTAACTACTGCATATTTAACTTTATACTTATTAAATCTCCTAAAAATGTCTTTAATGTAGCTAACACCACCCCCCATATTCTCATTTTAAAATTCATCTCCCTCTATCATCTAATCACTCTCCCATATCCATTTATTTTGAAAAAAAAATATACCTTCACAATGCTTTAATTAATCAAAAATCCCTCATTGATCTCATTAAATTATGAATAAGGTAGAGAGCAAATTGAAAGCGGAAATATGAGGGTGAAGGTGACATTAAAGTCCTATATCATAAAATTACTTATAGGAAAAGTAAAAACATTATCAAAATTTTGGAGGGAGTTGCTAAGAAAGTCGTCACTCATCCATCATTCCTTTAAATAACAAACTCTATGCACACTCTGAGATGCTTAAACAATATTTTAGTGAACTATCATTTTTTTAGTGTTGATGAGGTATTTCTCTATATTGCTTTTCCCAATGAGGATGTCAATCATGCTTTGTTTAACATAAGTAAGAATAAATGTCTTGTACACGATAGTTTAAATAAAAAAAATTTATACTCATAGAATTTATTAGCTCTTCATTTTTTTTAATTATTCTTTATTTCAATCTTGGTGCTAAACTTCTAAACTATGTAAAACACTTTGCTATCACTCATCTTAAAAAATATACCTATGACTTTCTGAATGACTATATAACCTGGTGTGGAACCGCAACCTGCAGAGAAAAGATAAAGAAACAGGGCAAGAATAGTGCAGGAAAAGAAGAAGAAGGAGAAGAAGAAGAATAAGAAGAAGCAAGGGAAGGGATAATAGCAGTTTTCAATATATCATCATCTATCCCTCTTCTTCAGCTGGCTTTCTAATATAAGCTAGTAGTTGCTGTAAAAGGAAAACTAGATAACGTTCCCCATGTGCCACTAGTTGGCAAAGCAAAAAAGCAATAAAACAGTAACAGAAAAGTAATAGTAGTGGAGCAGTCTGGTAGTCGTTATAGAGACGGTATGCTAGTCCGTTGGTATAGGATAGTCCACATCATAATCATCTCAATTTGCAACACTATTATAGGGGTATTAAGTATTCTTTTACCTAATCTTATAAATTATATTTAAAGGGCCTTTATTTGCAAATGAATTATTGAATGGCTTCAACTCTATCAAAATTTCAAACTGTTTTTGTTCTAAAATTGATATCAACAAAGCCTTGATCATGCAAACATTTAGGCCATTTATTCTTGTTGATTGTTCTACGGTTCTACCACCATTGTGGATTTTATAATTGGGTGAAATTATGACTTTTATTTTTTAGATGAAAGTATTGAAAATAAACCAACGTAAATCTAATTCTACATTAAAATAATGGTTTATAGATATATGCTAATTTTATGTAAGTTAAATTTATTTGATTAAACATAGTTAATTAAGTAGCATTATTTCTAATTAATATAAAGCAGTGCTTACAAATAAACTTTTCAACATGCTTTTGGTCAACATTTAAAGAGAATAATATCTCAAATTAATTGATATGTCGTGTCATGTTTATAAAGGTTTATATAGGGGTGTCAATTTCGGGTCACGGGTCGGATTCGGGTTGAACTCGAAATTGACACGTCACTCGAACCCGCCCCGTTTGTAAAAACGGGTCGATTTTCCGGACCCGAACCCGACCCGCTTCGGGTCCAGGTCAACCCAACAGGACCCGAATGACCCGTTTCCAACAAAAAATTGCTAGTTTTCGGGTAAAAAATTGGTCAATATCCTCTTTTTCAGGTCAAAATCTGGTTTTTAGGTCAAAACGGGTCAATGGGTTAACCAGAACCCGACCCGATTTTTGAAACGGGTCGAAATGTTGAACCCGAACCCAACCCGTTTCGGATTCGGCTCGACCATAATCCAAAATTTTCGAGTTGAATTCGAGCCGAACAGGACCCGAATGACCTGTTTCCAACAAAAAATTGCTAGTTTTCGGATAAAAAATTGGTCAATATCCTCTTTTTCAGGTCAAAATCTGGTTTTTAGGTCAAAACGGGTCAATGGGTTAACCAGAACCCGACCCGATTTTTGAAACTGGTCGAAATGTTGAACCCGAACCCAACCCGTTTCGGATTCGGCTCGACCATAATCCAAAATTTTCGAGTTGAATTCGAGCCGGATTTTCGGGTCGTGTCAATATTGACACCCCTAGATTTATACAATGTATTTATAAAAATAGACGGGTTCTCTCTCACTTAAATAACTTGGAATTCATTTCTTATTCTATAAGCAATTATTATATCCTTAATTTATGATGACCATTTATATTGAAATAAAAATTATAAAAGAAATTTGATTTGATATTAATATGGGCGGGATCTAATATAAAGGTTTTAATGCAAGTCAGACTTTTAGCATAGATATAAAGTAACTGCTCAGTGCTCAGGCGAAATGGGGGAGTTTTGGGAGAGATAAATGAAGGATTTAATTTAATTTGGTTCTAATCAAACTATTTAATCTGAATAATTTTGATTCAATTTTAATTGGCTTATTATGAGTCAATTTGTGCAAATTGGGCCTATTGTCACTTAAATTGAACTCGATTTGAGTCAATTCAACTCGGTAGCGTGCCAATTTGTGTCAACACACTTTGAGACGAGCTGATTTAGTCTGAATTGTGTTAAAATTAGGTAAATTTTAATTTATGTGATGTCAATCTAGTCGAAACGGGTTCAAATGGTGTCTGATTTTATTATAAACATAAATTCAGCGCAAATTATCTCGCGATGAATTGGGTCGAATTAGAAGGATGAGTCAATACTATGTCAGTGAGTATCCACCTAAGAGAAATCCTAATAACGATGTCTATGCTAGGTTACGAAGACCTATGAGCTATATATGAATTATGGGGAAATTGATCTCGAATAATAACGTCAACATTATTTTTCAACCAACTTCATAAAAAAACTACAGTAGCACCAAATGGGCTCTCAGAGTTTATATGAGTTTTTCTTTCATTTTTTTTTTTCATTTAACTCCTGCTTTCTTGCTATTTTCATAAAATTTATGACAAAAATTATATAAATAGGTATGCCATAATGTATTAATGTGATGGCTCCATGAAGTCTAAATCTGACTTTAAAAAAATATAATACTTATATCAGCTTTTAAAAATATTACTTTACCAAAATAACTATACAAATATCTTTATTAAAAATTTGTAAGCTCCTCAAAAGGGCCCTATACATACTTACATAGCAATGTATAGTTATTATCTTACGAGATAGTTAAAATTTAATATTATATATTGGTGTGTGCAAATCTTAACATCCATTTAAGGTTAATACACAAGTAGGTGCAATTTATTGTTTTATAATATAATTAAAATTTTGCATTGTACAAGAATGTATAAAATTCCTATTACCTATTATATATATATATATATTATCTTACAAAAATAATTATAACTTTTATTGTCTATAGATAAGCCACATTTAATTTAAGCACTACGAGGCCAGTGAGAGCCATACGAGAGGACGAAGCAGCAGTTTCCAGGTTTTCACCTTGAGGACAAGGTAATTCTTTGGGAGGGCGGTATTGTTACGCCGGTCTAGTCTGAACCGGCTCAGTTGGCCCATTGGCCGGCTCAGCGTGTATAGAAGAGTCCTCCCTTGTCCGCCCAATTTGATGGGTCCCACCCATGATCATTAGGAATTCAAAATTGAATAGAGGGGTGGCTAGAGCTTTGGGAGGGAAATTAGATTAGGAAAGCTTTTGTATTAAAATGTATGAGGAGGCATCTGCCGCCTGGTTCTCCACCCATGACCTATACTGAATCTCAAAATTATACCCAAACAACTTGGACAACCACCTTTGATGCTCCTTTGTCATCATCCGATGTTCCAATAGGTATTTTAAGCTCCGCTGATATGTCATGACAATAAAATGCCTCCCAAGTAGGTAGGGTCGCCACTTCTGGATGGCCAAAATGATGGCCATCAATTATCTCTCATAAATTGACTTCAATCTGGCTCTAGCAGTCACTATATGTCTACGACTCTGCATAAGCACTGGACCCAGCCAGTACCTGGACGCATCTGTCTCCACAATTAATGAAGGTCTGAGTGAAATATGACAAAGCTAAGACTAACACCGTACTCATCACCTTCTTCAGGTTCTCAAATGCTGATGTGGTCGCCTCCCCCATAGGAACTTATCCTTTTTCAACTGCTCAGTAAGTGGTCATGCTATGATGTTGTACCCTTTTACAAACCTTCTGTAGTATCCTATCAGTCCTAGGAATCCCCTCAACTTCTTCAGATTTTTCAACAGCATATATATGCCACCAAAATATAAGTCTCCTACAGCTCATTCATAAATTTTATATCAAATATTCATCATCCCTACAAGAAAATAATGGGTCATATATATAGACACAAAAAATATGAAACAAATAAAAGACTAGAGCGAAACAACACAAAAGCTCCCTCAAGTGAGGGTAAAACTGCAATAAAATAAATAACATCATATAAGTCTACTATAACACAAGAAAACTAAAAATATAAAGACTCAATCAAGGTTGTAGATCTCTGACCTCTATGGTGATAAACCCTCCAAGCTCCGATGTCCCTAATCAAAAAGGCAATGTTGTTAGGAATTGGAATAAAATGAGTGTATATTCCAAATGAAAATCAAAGTAAGAGTTGGAGAGGGAATTGACGGGGGCCAAGGCAAAGACAAAGAGGCTGAGAGGGAAGCAGTGAAATTCGAGCATTTAATTAAATGCTAAATTTTAATAATGAGGAGGCGAGCAGTAATAGGATAAGAAACCAGAAAACATTAAATAGATAAATTAAACATACTTTAGTATAAACATAATACTATTAAGTCAAATCGAATTAAATGTAATAATGTAATAAAATAAAAAAAATGTAATGTACATGTGAAATTGAAATAAAAAATAATAGATTTAAATATAATGCATTCAATGCTACAATAATTTAATAATTGATGCTACAATAATTTATTCAACCATTTTTTTTTTACTTAAGAAAATAACTTTAGCACTTTAAAATATTATTTTTTAGCACAATATAAAATTAATTGTGGTTTCATATGTGTGTAAATTTGATGACTTGTGTGACATAGACAAGTACATCATATACACGCATAATTCTAATAAGTCATCTTATGTATTACACACATATATACATGTGTTAATTTATAAAATAATTTAAATTCTATAGTGTCAAAACTATGTAGAAAGCTTAAAAAATTATTTTATCTATTATAAACATTTTTTTTACAATTGTTACTTTTTATAATCCCTCCTCGTGTCTTTACCATGACACAACAAGAGGCCCGTGAAGCTCCTCATGTGGTGACTGGTATGAATTCTATTGATGATGATGAATTGAGTAAGATTTTGATTAGTTGAACTTATTAAAATTTATTTTTTTTTATATTTTTCCTTTGTGCTAATAAATTTGTATTATTTGAGATTTTAATCCAAATCGATTAGGCTTGAATAATAACTTTGTGTGGAGGTCAACAAGTTTAAAATAATAAACATTATATTTTTTAAGCATCAGTTCTTGATCATTATATTATAATTTTATTTCTTGTAGGACCTTCGAATCATTGCCCTTGTCGACTGATTATCGTATTGGCTTGGAGTTTTGTGTTGCTTACCTAAAGGTAAGTAAGTGTTGTTTATTTCAGTGTTTTTTTTGTTAGGTTTATAATCCATATTGATTGTATTAGGTTCCTTATTATTATTTAGATTGTAAATTCTATATTAACTTCTATAGCATGATCGAACAAGCATTAAATATTCACTATTACATTGTATGATTATATGTATGTCAGTATAACTCTATCAGTTTTTGACTAGTCAGAATTAATGAGACCCAGAGTGACAACTTTGTAGGTCATTTTGAGGCATAATGATACCTAATGTGATTGCATTTGCGGGCATCAAAATAATATGCATTGTTAGCAATTTTGGATGTTCTCATTTTTGTTATTTTAACTTTGATATATTTGTTTACATGATCGTGCCTTACTAATAGCAAAATTTTTTCTTACATTCATTAAATTATTATATGATTGAACTATAAATAATTATAATATGATTATAATATTAGGTATATAAGATGTTAATTATTTTAAAGAGATTTATAACATACTATATAATTTTTAAGTATTTACATATCTAAAATTTGAAATTTTATATTTACATATATAATATCTACATCTTTACATCACATTAAAATTAATCATTTATTTTAATAAAACATTAAATATTTAATGTGACCGAAATACTAATGTATTATATAAATAAATATCGAATTAAAATTTTAGATATATAGATACACAATAAATTATTGAAGCAAAGTTAGGCCCGACAATTAAAAGCTCAAGCCCGACCCGCCCAAAATCTCACTCGCTTCGAGATCAGTAACCCGAGCACCGAGCATTTCAAAATTTCTTCTTCACTGACCTTCCACGCTAAGCCCAGCAAGACGGTTCAGCACGGGCGCTCTTGATCCGCCGCTTTCTTTGTCGTTCCCGACGAAATGCAGAAGCGAGCCTTTGTAGATGGATAGGAAGGATAATCTTCCGCAGCGGGTGCCGTCGAGCAGCCTTTCTCGTCAGAACGCCGGAGGAACGAATCTCACATCCTCTTCTTCTTCCTCCAACTCCTCAGCTAGCCCGCCTGATTTCCTCCGCCAGGTTCATGCTGTATTGAAGCATCGAAAACCCCTAGGTTAGTATTGCTTATTCTCTTTTCTATTTAAAATTTGGGATTATTGCTGATTGCTTGCTTTCTTTTGGTACTGCGATGAGGATTCTAGGTGCGCGAGCGGTTCGCATGATAGATCCTCTGCGGAAGCAAACAATGAGTAGTGGTGTTTTATCTCTGCCATTGAGCGAAAGTAATGCTGGCAAGGACGTGCGCCAAAGCCTAGTGCCTGAAGGAGCAACAAAGCTGACGAACGAAGGGTCTGTAGAAATCGGGCCGACTCCAAATGATTCGTCTCTAACTCCTCCCTCGGACGGTTGTACCTTGACTGGTGTTCATGAAGCGAAGACAAAATTGAACACCTTTGATCTGGATTCTGAGATGGTCAGAGTTCGGGTGGAGGCAAGTTTGGCGGCCTTTTCACCTTCCTTAGAGTTAGACTCTCAAGTTGTTCTGGCCAGTGACGGAGTGAAGCAGGTTCGACCTTCTTCTGCTTTCAACGAGCAACAAAAATTTCAGTGTAAGTAGGTTAACATATCAGACTGCTTTAAGTGAGAACATTTTCACTCTTTATAGCATGAGATACATTTAACATTATTTTTATACGTTTGACCTAAGTAGTTCTTTCTTTTGACAAAATGATACTGAAATTTTCACAGTGGACGAAGGTGTTTCAGGGCATAAGGTAAATGATGTGGATAAGCAGGATCTTTATCAGCAAGGTGCGCAGAACATGGAAATGTCCAGCTCTGGGATACCCTTAGGGGGTACAATAGCAGGCTCTTCCTGTATGACGGCATTCTCTGTCCATTCAGGCCCAACATTTCAGTGCACAGGTGCTCCTTTGCCAGCGCAGAGTGCATTTCCCACACAAATGGTAGCGTCCGCATCTCAGAACTTAGTAGGCATATTGGATCCTCCTCGTCTGGATGGTAAAAGAGTCGTGATTTCTGAAAGATCGTCAATGCAGGATATGCAAGGTCTTCAGAACAGCGAAGACATAGTGAAGAGAGAAGTAGCAGATAATGCTGATTGCTTGCAGTCTCAAGCTGCTTCAACAATTGATTCAACTTCAAAACTAGATATCAAACCTCCTCAGCCAGGCAAAGCTGAAAAATCTTCTCGGAGAAAGAAGTATGATTCCAATGTATTCTTTAATGTCAATGGAAAATTATATCAAAAACTTGGAAAAATAGGAAGCGGTGGCAGTAGCGAAGTACATAAAGTTATATCAGCTGATTGTATCATATACGCCCTTAAAAAGATCAAGTTGAAAGGTCGTGATTATGCCACAGCTTATGGATTTTGTCAAGAGATTGGATATTTGCACAAACTGAAGGGGAAGAACAATATCATTCAGCTCATTGATTATGAGGTAAAAAGCTAAACTCATCTTTTAAACATATTATTTATGTTGAGTGTTATTTTATTTTTTTGTGTTTTAAAATTTCATGAATTGTTTATTTGGAGGTATTAGGAGTTTACTATATTTGAAATACATGGGTTTTGAATATCTTTAAAAGCTCATTTTTATGAATGTGAAATTCTCCCAAAATAGGTCAATTTCAAATTCATTGTTCACTCATGACCTCACATCATCATGATCTTGCCCTTGCCACCTGTGTCATGATTTGAACTATCATTTCCCCTACACCATAGCGAGTCATATTATGCCAGATGTGCAATAATATATTTTTATTAAAGACCTATTTAGAAGGATTTTTTTTTCATCAATTGTTTATAATAACGCATCCTCTAGTATATCATAAGAAATATTGTAAAACATTAATCATCGAAGTCATTTCATTTCATATCACAAAGCTATATAATCGAAAGAGTTTAGATACAATAATCATACTACACATTTTTTTAATCGTAAAAAACATAAAATCATCATGACCACAAAAAAAAAAAAAGTTTAGCAAAAGATATACCTATAACTAGGAATCTACAACCTCTATCTCTAATCCACCCGATATTTCCCCCTTCCTTTCCCTAAAATCAATACATACATAGAAAATAGGAGTGAGCATCAATAGCTTAGTATTAGTAGCCAATTGATATACTCAATACCATGAAATTGACTACCAATAAATTTTTGGTCCTATTATGGAAATGAATTTAATACGCTTTTTTATTTTTCTTTCAGCCAATTGTGAATTATCCGTGTAGCAGTATAGTGTAAAAATGCCTTCCTACATGGGGATGTTCAACAAAAAGTTTATATGGATCTTTCACCTAGATTTGATCGTTCTTTCATAAAGAACAAAGTATGTAAATAAAAAAGGATGTGGATGGTCTTAAACAATATTCAAGAGCAATGTTTGGCAGATTCACAAAAAACATTAGTGAAGCTGGGTACAAACTAAACTTAAAAATATCATATCTGCTTCATAAAATACTCCACTGATGATAAAATCTCAATTCTCTTCTTATGTATTGATGATATAATTGTCACAGGTGATGATACTAGAGAGAAATTTTATGAGAAAACTTGTTGAAGAATTTCAGATAAAAAACTTTGAAAAACTCAAATACTTCTTGGGAGGGGAAGTTGCTCTATAAAAACAAAGAATATTCCTTTCTCAATAATCATGGATTTATTGAAAGAAACAAATTGACTGAGTGTAAATTTTGTGAAACCCAAACTGAATTTGGTCAAAATTGGATGTACATGAAGAAGAAAAAAGAAATAGACATGGGACAATGTCAAAACTTAGTTGAAAAAATGATCTATCTCATATTTGTTTAGACATCACATTTGCAATGAGTCTCATCAATCATTTTATGCACAAATTAAAAGAGTCTCACCTGCTAAGACACCTTAATTCAAGTTTTGGTTACCAAATATTTTATAAAAAGTTGGATATTTTACAAATTGAAGTTTATGTTGATATAGACTACGCAAGATTACTAGTGGGTAGATGATTCACAACTAGATATTATATATTTTTTAGAGAAAATCTTATGACATGGAGGAGCAAGAAACAATTTGTTGTTTCAAAATTTAGTCTTAAGTTGGAATTTAGAGCTATTGCCCAAGGAATCTGCTATCTTTTATCGATTAAAATTGATGTGAAACATATCCATGCAAAAGGAGCTTGATAAGAAAATTAAGAATAATTGACAATGTAATCTCAATTAATAGCTTATTGCAATAACAAGGAATTTCAATAAAGAACCTTAGTTTTTCACTTGCTTAGGCGAAGGAGCACGTAGATTAACCAAACCTAGTAGATAAGCAAAATAGTAGCAATACTAAGAGCTATTAACCAACAATCCGCAATTTAATAATGAGAGCTTTTACCTTTGGAGCCCATATGCTCAAATAGTCTAGGTTTTAGCGGCGGAAGAGTCTCCACATTAGAATCGAGGTCACTCCAAGGAAGAAGGAACCGAAGATCGTCGTTCTTGGAAAGATGGTCGGAGTGGTGGAGGAAGATGGTCGTCCAATGATGATCCAACGTCCCTTTGATCTTTGCTCGTCGATTACGTCAACTAAGACGTATTGGATACGGTCGATGTAGTCTTCAACGGTGTCGTCGAAATTAAAGCCCACGTCAAAGAACGGCGATTGGTGGATGTCGACTTGATCTCGATTGTCATACACAAATCCAAAGTTTCATTCGGGTTCCGCCATGCATCCTTGTCGGGAGATGAAGGAGCACCGTTGGAAACAAGGGAAGAGGAAGAGGAGAGAGAGGAGGGGTCGGCGGGATTTCCAAAGGAAGAGGGTGAGGCCGGCGGGTGCAAGGAGGAGGGAGCTTGGGTTGGGAGAAATGAGATTTAGTGGGGTGTAGAGGAGACTAATTAGAATTTGAAATTTAATTTCAGATTTAATTAGATTGGGAGGGAATTGATTTGAATTTTGGAATTTCAAATCAAAGGGAATTAAGGCATTGATTGGGGAATTAATGGGGGGGGGGACCCAAGGGAGGGAGTCGGCGGTTTCTAGAGAGAGGGGAAGGGATTTATTTCAAAACCTGAAATTAATTTCAGGTTTTGAAATAAATCCCTTCCCCTCTCTCTAGAAACCGCCGACCCCCTCCCTTGGGTCCCCCCCATTAATTCCCCAATCAATGCCTTAATTCTTTTTTATTTGAAATTCAAAATTCAAATCAATTCTCTCCCAATCTAATTAATTCTAAAATTAAATTTCAGATTTTGATTAGTCTCCTCTACACCCCACTAAACCTCATTTCTCCCAACCCAAGCTCCCTCCTGAAAAATAAAATAAACTACTACATAAAGTGACTTAAAATAAAACTCCTGATCGTGGCTGTCGATCTCCGGTGTCTCCGATGATACACGTGTCGAAATTGCTGACGATGTCCTCATCAAAAATCTTTTTAGAATATTTAAAAATTTAATGGAAAGGTCTAATGAAGATATATTGTGATAATTTTAATGAAGATATATTTTGATAATTTTAATGAAGATATATTGTGATAACAAATTTGCCATCAGCTTTATTTATAATCTAGTCCAATATGATTGTATCAAGCATATAGAGGTGAATAGATATTTCATAAAAGAGAAAATTAGAAAGTTGATATGTACGTGTCAATAGGAAATTAACTTACAGACATTCTCATCAAAAGATTCAACAATCTCACGTTCAAAAATATTATACATAAACTTAGAATGATAAGTTTATACCATTTAGTTTGAGAGGGGAAGTGTTGAATGATTTTGGGACTCACAAATCCCGATAAGGATTATGGAGCACATGGATTAAGGGCTTTAACCGTTGGATTGATCCTTTTATGGCCCTTAAATTGAATCTGTATGTCTACTCTTTCTAATTTAGCCACCGACTCCTCTTGGAGAATATTTTTTTTCCATTATTGTAAATAGTTTTTGGGAGATGTCTATATAGTCTTTCACACTTTATATTGAATCAAACAATAAAATTAAAATTATATTTTTTTTCTACTTTTCTACAATTGACATGTTATATTTTTCCTTCGTAATGCTATTTTACCTTTTAGAATGATTTTGAAGCAGTTGTATTTTTTCCTAGAAAACTCTTGGCTGCAGTCCTAAAAAATTTTCTGCTGGAATATGATAATTAAAGAATTGAAAGATCTTGAAGGTTGATTGGATTGAGACATTGTTTGCGAGTGTAGCTAGCAACTAACTACAATTTGGAATCAAGTCTAAAATGATCATATAATTGAGTACATAAAGACAGTTTTAGGCTGCGGCTGGATTGAGTTTGCATCAAGAGCTCAACTTTAGTCAATTGGTACCGTTATCGAACACCTTAACCCATCTCATGGTTTATGAATGGGCCTATCCTCTAGACATTTGTTTGGTTTATCCAAAATTCAAAACTTATCTATCCTCTAGAAATTTGTTTGGTTTATCCAAAATTCAAAACTTATCTGACTTTTTTATTGCTAAGTTAAAAATATTATCAACCGATTCAATTTAGCTATTCAGACTCACGTTTTTTTTTTTTTTTTTTTTTTTTTTTTTTTTTTTTTTTTGATATTTTACTTGAATATTTGTTAACTGAATTTCTTAGGTAACAGATAAAACTTTGCTACAACAAGCTATGGAGGGAACCATGACTTCAAAGGATGGAAGGATTAAAGATGATGAATACATCTACATGCTGCTTGAGTATGGAGAAATTGATTTGGCTCACATGCTTATGCAAAAGTGTAAAGATATGGATAGCTTTAGCTGGAATATAGATGAGAATTGGCTGAGATTTTATTGGCAGGTACTTATTCTTAATGTTGCACGAATTCTTCATGCATCTAGTAAATTTTACTGAATTGAAGCTTTATGTGTTGTTTGTATTGCTATAACAAAGTCAACCAGTAAATATAAACAAATACTTGTATTTATGAACAAAATCAATCCAATAAAAGAATATAAAAAATGATTTTATGCATTTTTTATAAAATAATAAATATTTATTATAGTAAATTTGAAATAATCTAGAAGACCAATTTGATTAGAAAGAACATAATGGAATTAGGATTTTTTTTTATGATCAACTTTGCAACATACCTTTGAAAATTAGTCGAATGTAACACTTTACTAAATTGATCTAAAGATTTTTGCAAAATAATCAAGAATCCTTAATCATAGAGCCAGAACATAATGGAAAAATAAAAAATAATAATGCATTCCATTCTCTAAGTAAAATTTGAAAGTATTATGTAGACAAAAATTCATTGATTACTATTTAAGAACCTGATGTAAAGATTTCTGTAGACTAACGGGGATTCTCTAACCAAATAACCACAAGATAATGGAGATAACAAAAAAATTAGCACAATCAATTCTCTGCCTGCATCACTATATAGTATATTGAATCTAAAAGGCGCTTTCCTACAATTTTTAAAGAAACGGAAGCACGAGGGCTTCAAAATTTGACATGAATATAAAAAACGATTATGCAGGAAACTGTTCATCGATTACGATATCAAAAACTTGATAGGTTTTTGTTAAAATATGAAAGTCCCTAAACAAGATAGGCCCAAAATAATAGGAAACACAAATATTAATATAATCGATTCCCTGCACCTATCAAACATACTAGTTTGGGTCTTGCAGACACTTTTTTCTGTTTTTTTAAAAAGGGAAAGCACAAGTAGGGCTTGGAATCTGGCCGATAGTTATAAAACAGAGTGGAAGCCTTATTATATTTAGTACCAGGTGGGGCTTTCGACCAAATTTTGAAAGAGAAAAATCCCCATTACTGCTCAGAACAATGTTAAAGCAAGAAAGAGAAATGTTTGATATTTACCTCCGCTTATTCAACAGCTTTTAGCCTTCTATGACAATCCTGTACCTTTTTATTTTTCACACTTGCACGTTCTCATTGAAACCATCTTTCATCTCCAATCAACTATTGCCTTCCATGCTTGGGTTTGAATAAATAAATATTATTTATAATTTAAATAGTAGCTTAAGATATTTGAATAAATAAATATTATTTATAATTTAAATTTTTACATTATATTGTTTTATGTTATAAAATTCATTTTATTATTAAGTAATTATTAAATATGATAATTGAAGAATTCATTAATTCAAACTAGTATGTTCATAATTTTTTTATAAGCCTTAATTGAGTTTCTTAACATGCTTGTTCATGAGCTTCAAATGACACCATTCATGCTCATAAATAAATTAAACAATAAACTATTCAAGTTTGTTTATTTATCTACCGAGTATTTAAAAAAAATGTTCAAGCTTGTTTGATTAGTTAATCAAACGTTCATGAACAAGCTCTAGTTGAGCTGAGCCATAAGTAACTTATTGAATGCTCAATTTACTTACATCCCTAAGAGTCATGAGATTTAAAAGCTAGTTATTATTTGATCTTCTAAGAAATTTGACTCATGATTTTTAAATTCATATCTGTTAAGATTATATATCATATATGAGAAAAAGATAAAAATAGTCCATTGACTCTTGATGAAAGATCAAAATAGTCCTCAACTATATTTAATGACCATTTTGATCATTTAACTCTTTAATTTCCATTTTGATTATTTTTTAAAGACTTGAGAGACTAAAATGGTCTTTTAATATAGTTAGAGATCATTTTGGTCTTTTTCTCTATCATATATCAAATAATTATTCTATTAATCTTAAGTCTCTTGTCTTTAAAACATTCATTCTTTTGTTCTTTTGGTTGTTTTACTAGAAGTTTATAGATCAAAAATGTTTCATCCATTTCAAGTATATACCAAAGTATCTTCCATTAACTATTATTTATCAAGATGCTAATATACGATATTATGGATTGAATGTCGACCCTTGAAGTGATATTACTATGATCAGAATTCTTTGGTTACTTTGCAATTAATTTCAATGCTTGTTAATGCTCCATCATTCATATATTTAATAACTTTGAAATACTTTTAGTGCATTTTTTTCTTTATGTGCAGTAAATTAGTTCTCATGTACAAGTTCATATGCCTTCTCAAGGCTAGTAAAATTTTTATGAAGTTCTTTTTCTTTTCTCATTAGTTACTTAGCTTAAAAAATAAAAATCTAAATTTTTTATTTGATATGGATATGATTTTTATAATCTAATAATTCCTTGGTCTTCTCAACTTCATTGCATGATCCAAAAGCTTAAATCCCTATAATTATTATAATTTTATACATATTTTGTGTTCTTAAATGTTGTTACAAAATACTTTTCTTATTTACACTCTTACTCCTTAAATTCCATTGAAATATTTGTTTATCAAACTACTCTATCTCTTATGATTCTTAAATCCAAACAAATATCTCATGTGAACCTAAATATTTACTTTTATGCATATGATGTGAAACAAACAACAGGAATTGTAGGATGTTAATAAGAAAGTTGTTTTAAGCGAGGCAATTATAATTTTAATGTTTCACTAAGATTGGATTCTCAGTTTTCGTAGTTGTTGATTTGATTCGACAATTCAAAATAACAACAAAATATAGTAAGACCCGTGCGATAACAAAATCCATCGTCTAATAAATAAAAATTTCACCTTCCAGTTTCCTCTCTTTCTCTCTTGAAAAGTGAGGTTAGCGGAAGAATAACTTCAGCAATCCTAGTGATGCCACTGAAAGAAAGATGATGCGTATGGTCTTGATCTACGGGAGGTTAGCCGGAGGTGAAGATGTGGGATGCCCGATGATTTGTCACTATCCGGAGGGTAGTTGTTCTTCAACAGACGGTTCCAAGGTGAACAGGATGCGATGGACGTATGCGGCGACGGTGTCGTCTACTTATAGATTGAGATCGAAGAACAGAGATTGTAGAATATCCACTAAGCATTGACAATCATTAGACAAACTCATGATCAGGCTCGGGATCGACCATCCATGGAGTAGAGGATGGTGGGTGAGAGGGGAGATGGAGGGGGTGGCCGAACCTAGGGGGGAGGGGTGAAGGGTTTCGGCCTTGGCTTGGGGAAGGGGTTCCACTTGAATTTCGGTTTGGGTCTTGAGTGGGGAGGGGAGGGAATTAAGACTAATGATCTGAAGTTAAATATCAGATTTTCATTAATCAAGGAATTGAAATTTGAAATTCAAATAAGATGGAGGGAAGGATATAAGAGGGGTTAATTATTTCCCTAATTGGATTCCTTAATAAGGAAGGAAATAATTAAAATAGGGGAGACGGAGGGGCCGACCAAGAGAGATGGAAGGAGCAGGCGTCTACATTCAATGAATGTGACTCAAGCATTGAGTGGGGAATAATTAAAATAGGGAAGAGGGAAGGGCCGACCAAGAGAGAGGGAAAGAGGAAGCGTCTATATTCAATGAATGTGGCTCAAGCATTAAATGGGATTGGGATTTAAATCTGAAATTAATTTCAGATTGGGGGCAATTGGAGGAGGCTCCCTAATGTAGAATTTATTAAATTGTAAATGCTTTGAAATTCAAATTTATTTGAATTCAAAATTGAATGACTTTCCAAATTAACAAAATCTTTTTTAGGAAGGTAATCAAGAGGGAATTTGAAATTTGAAATTAAGGGTTTGTGGTGAAGAGGTCAGCAACTATAGGGATGGCTTGGATAGGCTGACGACTAGGGGAGGTTGGCAGGAGGGAGCGTGGGCCGACGGGGGAGGTGGCTGGCTGGGGGGATGGAATTGTGGGCAAGGTTTGTGGGGAGAGGCTGGCGGGTTTGGGTGGAGGGGATGAAATTGGTGGGATTGGAGAGGATGGAGGGGGAGTCGGCGGCTTTAGGAGGGTGGGGAGGGTGGCCGGATGTATAGAGGGAGGAAGAGATAAACCGCGAGCCCCGGACTCTTCTGGTGGCTGACGGGTGTTGCTTTCACCCTCACCTAGGGTTCTCTCTTTCTCAAGTGCACACACAAGAAGAAAAAGAATACAAAGCTCAAAATTTCATTCAAAAGCATCATTGACCTCATACAATGACTAAGGCCTTAATATATAGGCCTCCACTAACAAGAAAAATAAAAGACTCATATGCCCTCAGGCTACAACATGAAAGAAGTCTCCACACAGGGGTACAATGGTACACTAAAAATAACATATATAAAAAATATAGAAATGCATAAAAAATAGAGGTTCTGAATCGTAGCCGTCGATCTATGATTCTTCCGATCGTAGACGTGTTGAAATGTCCTGCTTATGTCCTCATCAGCATACTTGTACATGCCTATGTAGATACAATACATGTATCTAACAAGTCTTCAAAGTGAACTCGACCCGAATGGTTACATCTCCTATGGGGAGCACTCGCCATGAGGAATGTAAGTCGCCCAACAAGCTATTCGCCATCATCTCACAAAACTATGGCCACTGTTCGAGCAAAGATCTATACAAGGACTCGTTGAAGTGGTCAACTTGAGGAATCATCACACCTAGTAAATCCCCCATGGATACTCCTCCGGATTGATTCCCAACAGGAACTGTTTATCCACGGACACTCTCCAATATTGGAACCACTCAACAACTATTGTCATCATCATCCTAGCTACATGAAGCATACAACACCTCAAAGGCCATTGCTACGATCTCTCATATTTGGACGATTCTCAATCCATTGCCAGTCACTTAGAAGAACTTTTCTTTTGTTTTTAGAGAATAAAATGTCACATGAATGGACTCGTTATCACATCCTAAAGATTTCCCTCCACAATGTCATCTCTTATTCGGATTTTTCTTTGGTATAACATTTTCTGTAACCCTCTAAACCTTACAAATAAAGGATGATGAGACATACTTAGAGTATTTGATGCAAAC